GGTTATCAGACTTGTCAATAATCTCTTAGAAGCTAGATTATAATCAATGACTTCAAAATGAAGAAAACATATTTGCAACCTTGAATTTTATACCCAAACTATAAAGGTCTATTTTTAAAAATATCTTTAGTTGTAAAAGGACACCACACCTTTATTCCATTTATTTATTTTTATTTGGTGCTAAGGATCAAACCCAGTGCCTCACACATGCTAGGCAAGCCCTTTACCATTGAGCTACAAACCAAGCCCACAGGGTGTATCTTTTTTCGAACACACAAGGTCTACAAAAATTTACTCTACAAAAATTTACCCATGCACTCTTTTCTCAGGAAGCTAATTAAGAATATGTTCCACCAAATCAAAGAAAGATGATGACAGGAGATTCAAGAAATAAAGGAATTAACATAGAAGAGAAAATGAAGGAATCTCTAAAAAAATTGTGAAGACATCTGACAGGAGTAAAACATCAAGAATGAAGGGTCAGCATGGATCAGCAGAGAAACTTGTTTGGACTTGTTTGGACTTTGCAGTAACTCAGTGACTTTTTAGTGCTGGTCACAAGATGACCAGAGAGTGTGTCTATGTTAGATAAGTGGATGATGTAACCTTTTTGAGTGTGGATGATGTAACCTTCTAAGTTGTGGTCATAGGATGATAAAGTAGTCAGGCAGTATGCTTATGTTAGATAAGTTAGGCATAAACAACTTATAAAGTATATAAGCGCGGGGGAAACTCCATGTAATTGCTCACAACTAACTCTCGTCACCTGAGAGTAAGATCGTGCAGTTGTGTGCCAGCCACCTCGTGTATTGCTTTGTGTGGTGTGCGAATAAACCAGCATTTCAAAAGGCAATCGAGTTCGTGCTTGGTGTTCGCGTACGTCGCGGTCCGGGGTCCAGTACAGATATCCGGAAGGAAACTCCTGGTAACCAGACAAGGCTGAAAAGCTGCTCGTGACAACATCCCAGAATGGTAGTTGTGAAGCAGGCCTATAAGATAAACAGTGGTAGGCTGCTTGTGATAGGCTGAGGCAGGAGAATCAAGGCCAGTCTGGGAAACTTAACAAAACCCTGTCTCAAAATTAAAAGTAAAAAGGGCTGGGGATGTAGCTCAGTGGTAAAATGCCCTGGGTTGAATCCTGAGAACTCAGGGGTGGAGGGTGGAGGGTGGAGTGGGGAGGGGGGCTAGTCATGAAATAGCCGAGATGTTGAAACAAAGAGGAAAAATAGTGTGAGAAAATTAAATCCTCATTTTCATAGAGATAAAGCATAAATAAAAAATATTTACAACATTTAAATGAAGAAATCAGTGTTAATTGTGCTACTTGGAAATATGAGGACAAGGAGCTAAAAAACAGCTGTGATTTGAAAGGGACTACTTCTTAAGAACAGGATTCAAGCCAGGTGCAATAGTATATGTCTGTAATCCCAGTGGCTTGGGAGGCTGAGGCAGGAGGATTATAAATTCAAAACTAGCCTCAGCAAAGTAGCGAGACCCTGACTCTAAATAAT